GTGGGGGCTGCTCTTCGTTGCGGTGTACGGGCTTCTCATTGCGGTGGCCTCTCTTGTTGCGGAGCACAGGCACAGGCTTCAGTAGTTGTGGCGCGTGGGCTCAGTAGTTGTGGCTCATGGGCTCTGTAGCGCAGGCTAAGCAGTTGTGGCACACGGGCCTAGTTGCTCCACAGCATGCGGGATCCTCCCAGACTGGGGCTGGAACGCGTGTCCCCTGCATTGGCAGGTGGATTCTTAACCACTGCGCCACCAGGGACGCCCCAGGACTGTCTTCTTCTTGTTGCTCTTTTTTTCACTCTTGGTTTAAGTTGGATGTAGCATAGTGAAAGCTGTCTAATTTTAGTATTAACCCTAAATTTTGTTTTTGCTTGCTGTCAGCTTTTGTAACATTAACCAATTTTACCAGAAGACTTACAGAATAATATGGTGACCATTGTATTACTATTGTAATTGTTGTTATTATTTAGAGTCAGAGCTCCCCCAGAGTGTCTTACTTTAGTTGCTGTGTGCTTCCCACTTCTATAGAATGAAGGTTTTCCAGCACAGAAAAAAGAAAAAAAATAAGAGCAAGATGAGGATTTCTGGAGTTGAGTTATATTTGAATCTAGGGCTTAAGGGTTCAAATTTTATCCTACAAAATTATGGCTGTGCATAAAGTACAAATAAAACTGTGTAATACCTTATGAAGTCAAAGATCATGTCCATTGGAATGGACCTTTGAGTCATTTAATCTTTTCATTAACCTTTAGGGTAGACTATTTCAGTGAAAGTTCTTCAGCCATCATGTATCTTTATATAAACGGCAAAATTTCATCAAAGAAAATACTCAGACTTAGAAATTGTTCTTGCATCTGTGTTGTATTTTTGTTGGATTATAAACATTTCTGGCTATGATACTGATTCTAGGAAGTTCTTCCTCTGATAATAATAGACTTTAGACTAATAATCGATAGGTAACTCCTGTCCCTCCTGCAGAGAATAATGGGGGACAGGGAGACAAAACATATAAAATATCGAAAGCATCACAGAGCTACAAATACACTAAAAAAAAGTTTCTCATATCTGAGAAGGAGCCTCAGAGGAGTCATCTCTTACTTGGGGTTGCTTTTCTCTAACAGGTATGTGTTCAGTTCCAGAAAAGGCTGCTAAGAATCTAAGGGGAACTTTGAACAGACTCACAGGGGCCCACAAAGACGGACACTGATTTAAAAAATATATATATCGACCTTTGGGTTGGGGATGCTAACATAATCCAGAGTCTCAACTTTTTTTTTTTTTTTTTTCAGTTTTTCATGTAAAACTATTAGGGATATGAGGAGGCAGCCCATATAATGAAATAAGAGAAAAAGCAGACAAGAGAAGTGAACCCACAAGTGGTGCAGGTACTAGGAGTATCAGACAGTCTACATTTTAACTGTAGGTTTGGCACAGCTGAAGAGAGTGTGAATGAACTGGAATATGTATCAGAGTATTATCTAGACTGAGTCAGAACCAAAAGGGGGGACATACAGAAAAGAATGTAAGAGACTTAGGACATTTGATGAAAAGGACATGTAATTAATGTCCCAGAAAGAGGAAAAAAGAAATGAGGCAGAAGAGGTGTAACTGAGGATTTTCTAAAATGGAGAAAAACATCAACCCTTGATTCGAGAACCTTTACAAATTCTGAGCAGGATAAATACTCAAGAGACCATTAAGAGACATGTAGAGAAATCATAGTCAAAAATTGGAAGCAATCACCTGCCTGTAGATGGTAGCCTCCTTCTCCCTTGAATAGCAAAGACTGCTCCCATGTCCTGCCTCCCGTCTGTCGTACACAGTGGGGTGTTGCTCCAGGAACTTTTGCTGTGGGCAATAAACCCAATAGCCCCTACCCAATAAACCTTTGATGTCCCCCCACCAAAAAAAAATAGGAAGCAATCGAAATGTCCATCAGCAGTAGAGTGATAAATAGTATCAGCCACACAATGGCATACTCAACAGTGGAACCAGATGAACAACTACCTTCAGTGTGAATGAAACAGATGAGATGTTGAGACGAGGGTACATACTGTGTGATTTCATATGCGAAGTTCACAATAAGGCAAAACTTATCTTTGAAGTGTGGATACGGATGGCTTGTGGGAAAGGAGGGGAGTGACTGAGTGGAAAAGACATGAGGATCCTGGAAGTTTTCTGTGTGTTTATCTGGGTGGTGGTCATAGAAGTACATATTCATTGTGAAGACGGTCATTGAGCTGTGCACTTAAGATTATAAACTTCATGTGTATGTGTTAACTCTTTAACAACTAAAAACCCCACTGAGACACTGAAGTAACTTCACTAGCAGACCAACACTAAAGAAATACTAAAAGGTTGTTCTTTAGGCAGAAGAGTTTAGATGCAGGAAGAAATCAAGAATCTGTAAAACTTGGGACTTCCCTTGTGGTCCAGTGGTTGAGAATCCGTCTCGCATTGCAGGAGGCGCCTCTTTGATCCCTGGTCGGGGAACTAAGATCCCACATGCCGCGGGGCAACTGAGCCCGTGAGCTCTGGAGCCTGCGCGCCACAACTAGAGAGCCCACACATCGCAACTAATGAGCCCGCACGCCGCAACTAGGACCTGATGCAGCCAAAAAATAAGTAAATAAATAAAATAAAAAAGAATATCTAAAACTCAAATAGTGGATCTGGTACTTACTGGAATTCTGGGCAAATCACCTGTAGCTTCTAGGCCTTAATTTTCCTTGCATATAAGGAGGGATTTGGATTAAATCCTTCTGGGCCCCTTCTCTTAAAATTTATTCTGGGGATAGAGCATGGAAGAATTTATTTGAGAGACCTTTTATTTTAGCAGTCCCCAACCTTTTTGGCGCCAGGGACTGGTTTTGTGGAAGACAGTTTTTCCACGGACGGTGGGAGGTGGAGGATGTTCCAGGAGGTGATGCAAGCGATGGGGGGATGGGGGGTGGCAGGTGAAGCTGTGCTCGTTCGGACTGCTACTGGTCCCAGGCCCAGGGGTTGGGGACCCTGTTTTATTTAGCCTGTAGACACTAACACGATAAAATAAGAATTTGATGAAATAAGAAACTTTGAAATTAGGAGAAATTAAATAGTTGCAGTATAAACAAAGAAAACATTTGCTTTATTTATGTATGCACCAATGCTAAGTGAAAAAAAACCTGCAGAATCTATTGAGCAGTAAAAAGCCCAGGGCTTTCCTGGTGGCGCAGTGGTTGAGAGTCCGCCTGCCGATGCAGGGGACACGGGTTCGTGCCCCCATCCGGGAAGATCCCACATGCCTCAGAGTGGCTGGGCCCTTGAGCCATGGCCGCTGAGCCTGCACGTCCGGAGCCTGTGCTCCGCAACGGGAGAGGCCACAACAGTGAGAGGCCCGCGTACCACAAAAGAAAAAAAAAAAAAATTAAAAAGCCCAGAGAATTCCCTGGTGGTCCAGTGGTTAGGACTTCACACTTTCACTGCTGCGGGGCCAGGGTCAATCCCTGGTCAGGGAACTAAGATCACACAAGCTGCGTGACGCGGCCAAAATAAAAACAAAAACAAAACTTTATGGAATATACTTCATATTTGCCAGCGTATCTTCCTGCGGAGTGAAAGAATTCCTTTGGTTACTTGTTCTGTTTTGTTTTTGCCTGTTAAGATAAAAATATCTGGAAAAGGACAAAATTAGAAGCAGCAATGGGTAGGAATTTAGAAGTGAAAACAGAGTTGTTAGTGTTGGTAGTATTATGAGAAATGTTTAGAGCTATAATAGGTGGAGGGGCCATAGACCTTTACCTAACGACAAAAGCTATTTTTGAAGAGAGATGACAGAATAATTCAGTGCTCTTGGGCCTTGTTTCTCAAAACTTCACCATTACTCAAGAGGTAGTTAGAAATGCAGAGTCTCAGGCCCCTCCCTAGACTTACTGATTTAGAATCTCTGTTTAAACAAGATTCCCAAGTGATCATATGCATGTTAAGGTTTGAGAGGCACTATTACCTGTACATAATATTGTACCATTTTGAAGCTAACAGTAATATACGATGGAGTCCCTGTGTGAAGTAGGAAAGCTGGGTCTCCTGTGTAATCTGCCACCTACACTAATGCCTGGGAAATAGTCTAGAAGGCTGGCAGGTAATTGTAGATAGAGTTGCCTTAAAATGCTATGTCTAAATTACATGTACTTGCAAGTATTTTGGAGGGAAGTGCACTAGTATCTACAAATTACTTGAAATACATAGAGAAGATAGATTATTTAGCGGGGTGAATAAATAGAAAACATGATAAAGCAAAAAGTAAAAAATAGTATAGAATCTATATGATGGACATATTTTTCACAGTAAAATTCTTTCAGCTTTATGTGTTTTAAATTTTTCATAATAAAATGTTAGGGGGGAAGCTGTTATGAAAATGGGTATCATACACCAGACTATAATCTTTATATTTGTATATTTGCTTTATTTTATAATGTGTTAATACTTTTCTCTTAGAAAAGAAAAAGTGCCTTAGGAAGTACCCTGTGTACAGAACATAATGCTTTACTATATGCATTATCTCATCTAGTTTTTCTTCCCCTGCTGCACGGCTTGTGGGATCTTAGTTCCCCGACCAGGGATTGAAACTGGGCCATGGCAGTGAAAGCACAGAGTCCTAACCACTGGACATCCAAGGAAGTCCCTCTCATTTAGTCTTCATAACACTGATAGGTTGGATATCATTGTGATTTGTAGCTGAGAATACCAAGACCTAGTTTAAATTACTTGCCCAATCTCTAGCACAGAGGGTCTGACTTGGAGATGCTGGCTACCACATTGCACAATTCTGGGGCTGCCATTTCCAGTGTTGGCACAATAGAGCATCATTCACTTAGAGTACAAAGGGGAGAGTCCCCCTGGGGTTGTACAGCAAGGCTTCCTCACTATTCTCTTAGACTTGTGCAAAATGAAAATTTTAAACATTTTTCTGATGGGAGTTTTTAACTGTTCCCTGACTTTTCTTATGTTTTTTATTTTTTAAGATTCTTGGATCTCCCAGTCAGCATCCTATCCCCGTAATCAGAAACAGCCAGGGGTGGATTCTTTATCACCAGTGGACTCACTTCCTAAACAGATCTTCCAGCCTTCTGCCCAACAGCAACCCACTAAACCAGCTAAAATCACTTGTGCAAACTGCAAAAAGCCTTTACAGAAGGGACAGACAGCTTATCAGCGAAAAGGATCAGCTCACCTCTTCTGTTCTACCACCTGCCTCTCTTCCTTCTCTCACAAGCCTGCTCCAAAGAAACGCAAGGTGACATGTAAAAAGTAAGCTGTACCTTTCAACATGGTTCCATATGATTGGGTACTGGCAGAGTATGAATTTGTGTCCTGAATGTACTTAGACAGTTGCAGAAGATTCATGGGTAGAATTGATGCACAGGTTTCTTCAAGTTTATGGAACTTGAGTTATCCTAGCATATGTCAGAGCTGTGGGTCATTTGTATTGTACTTACTCTTGGCAGGAAAATAGAGTTTAGGTATAGAAATAAATCAGCCCTATCCCACCACTGCCTTTGCCTCACCCCCTTCCCCATCCTCTACCTTGGTTCTACCCAGTTGCTAACACCCTTTTTGAATGCTTCTAGAAGTCATAACCTGTGGCAGGGTTCTAAAGGTCATAACCTGTGACAACAAAATATTGTTATCTCTGAATATCTTTCCATATTATTTAGAAACTAAACCAAAATGTGGATTTTTCTAGATCCAAAAATTATAGTTGATTCTTAGGATTAAATCATGAGAAAATGAAAAATGTCAATTATTGTTCATATATAATTGACTTTTATTAAAATGCAATATTCTTAGGGAGTTCCCTGGTGGCCTAGTGATTAAGATTCTGGGCTTTCACTGCCATGGCCCGGGTTCAGTCCCTGGTGGGGGAAATGAGCCACTCAGCATGGCCAAAAAAAAAGAATGCAGTGTTCTTAAATTGTGTCTATCCCTTGTGTTTCAGAGGTGCACCTGCAAAAAAGGCTACTCTTGTTCTTCAAGGGGAGTCAAGTGAATCCTTCCAAAAATTTTGTGGTACGTCTTTGTCTCCCTATGAAGATAACCAGATTCTTCGAAAAAGAGTTCTGAATAAATCAAGATGTACAATCTGCAGTAAACTAACAGAGGTCTGTGATTTTATATCTTAAGTTATTATCTAGGTTAACCGATAATTTTAACTTTTAGGTGCTATCATATGTTCTGCCATCTACCTAATGGATGAGTCTTGAATCTACTCAGTGAAGTTGAAAGGAAGAATAAGCATATGTTAGAATTGTCTCATAACAAATGTCCCACCCCATAGTATGGGGGGTAATCATCCATTTCTGTGGAACTGAATGTACTCATGAAGAGAGCAGTAGTTTTATGGTGGATTTTGTTCTTATTAGCCACAGTAAATGAAAATGTAGGTTCAGGACATGAAGGAAACAACCAGTCCTACAAGAACACGTAGAACAGGTGGAGTGAAAGTATGCAGGTCACTTCACATTTCTTAGGCGGTATTGCCATCTTCCCAGGCATCCAGGGAGGCCCCACTTAACATGGTCCTTGGTGACTGAATTTGGTCTGGATTACCCTGAAGCATTGTAAATCCCAGACACAATTTTATCTCAGCTACCATAGAGCTGAGAAAAGCAAGAACTTAGGTATATACAGACTCCATCCTGAATGTGGGTGATACTGGTTCCCTTCGCCCACCCCCCACCCCAGTTTTCTAGGGCAGTGAAGTTTATAATACCTACAAATTCCAAATCCACTTATTTTTAAGCAGGTCATATCAAAACCTGCTAACCATTTTCTGTAATTTTTTTTTAATAAATTTATTTTTTTAATTTGTTTTTGGCTGTGTTGGGTCTTTGTTGCTGCACGTGGGCTTTCTCTAGTTGTGGCAAGTGGGGGCTACTCTTCATTGTGGTGCGCAGGCTTCTCATTGTGGTGGCTTTTCTTTTTTCAGGGCAGGGGCTCTAGGCACGAAGGCTTCAGTAATTGCAGCACGTGGGCTCAGTAGTTGTGGCTCACAGGCTCTGGAGCGCAAGCTCAATAGTTGTGGGGCAAGGTCTCAGTTGCTCTGCAGCATGTGGGATCTTCCCGGATCAGGGCTCGAACCCATGTCCCCTGCATTGGCAGGCGGATTCACAACCACTGCACCACAGGGAAGCCCCTGTAATTCTTAAATGTCTGATTTTGTTGCTTTTTGTTCTATGAATCTTATTTTTCCTTTTATGAAATCAAAGCACAATTTTACAAAGAAATCAAAGATAAAAATGAAAGAATAGTGAAATGTGCTTTTTAAAAGTCTTTTACCTGAATGTTTCTTCCACTGAGAAATTACTAAAGGTTCTTCATTTCTGTTGAAAAAACTAGGTATCTCATGTATGGTGCTAATCCAGTTCATTTATTTAATAAATTGGCTTTTGTTTTTAGATTCGGCATGAAGTCAGCGTTAACAGTGTAACACATAAGCTGTGCAGTAACCAGTGCTTTAACAAGTACAGGTTGGCCAATGGTCTAGTGATGAATTGCTGTGAGCAGTGTGGGGAGTACCTGCCCAGCAAAGGTGCTGGAAACAATCTCCTAGTCATTGAAGGTCAGCAGATGAGATTTTGCTGCCAAAGTTGTGTTAACGAATATAAACAGGTAATTCTTTTTTAATGAGTTTTAAATGATCAAGTTTGCAGTAACTTCTCCCTTGTTAGCTTACATGAAGCATATTTATCTTAGAATCTCATATGGTTCCATTTCTGTCAATCTCTAATTGAGTATTTCTCTCAAATGAGTATTAAAATTAATTGTTATAAGTAAGCTTGTTTTAAGTCTTTATGTTTTGCAGGAGTTACAATGAGTAATTCTTTTCTCTACCATTTTGCACCCCCACTGACAACTTGGTAGTTCCAGTTATTCTGTAGTCTCAACAAAATTTGGTGTTGTCTGTATTGATTTAATCTATTCTAGTGGGTATGAAATGATTATCTCATTGTGGTTTTAATTTCCTGATAACTACTGTTCCTTTCTCATCACTCATATATCTTCTTTTGTAAAGTATCTATTCAGGTTTTAGCTCACTTTTTTTATTGGATTGTCTTTCTATTATTGAGTTGTAGGAATTCTTTTTATATATTCTGGATACATATCTTGTGTAAAATAAATGTATTTGGAAGATTTTTCTCCTGGACAGTGTTTTGTCTTTTCGTTTTCCTAATGATGGTTTTGAAAAGCCCAAGTTTTAAATTTTGATAAAGTCCAGTTTACTATTTGCCTTTCTGATTAGTACTTTTTGTGTCTTGTTTAGGGACTCTGCCTACCAAGGTTATGAAGATATTTACCTATGTTGTCTTCTATAAGCTTTTTAGTTTTAGATTTTACGTTTACATCTGTGATCCATCTCAAGTTAATTTTGTGTATGGTGTGAGGTAGGGATTAAGGAAGCGTCATCTTCCTGAATTCAAGACATTAAAAACCTCAAAACATTGCATCATACACCATAAATTTGTACAGTTTTTATCAATTATACTTCAGTAAACCTGGGGAAAAAAGACATTAAAAAGCCATAGTAATCAAGGTGGTATGGTATTGGCATATAAACAAATAGATCAATAGAATAGGCAGGCCAGAAATAGAACCACACAAATACAGTCAGTTGATTTTAGAAGAAAGTACAAAATCATTTGGATGGGAAAAGCAAGACTTTTTTCAGCAGATGGTGCTGGAACAATTTTTTTGTTGGTATGGACATAAATACGCCAGACCTCAGATTATACCACAAAAAAATTAATTTAAAAAAATTAATTTAACATGGATCCTCAATGTAAAACGAGGAATGTTCTTAACCCCATTTCACTGGACAAGGGTTTAAATGGTTAGCTTTTAGGGAAAAGTAACTCTGAAGTGCGAGGCTTATTGCACAGTAGAGGAAACAGTGGATACCCATAGTTGATATTTTAGTTTTTGCAAGGAAGGCTTATTTATGTTATCTTTATTATCTTCTTTGTATATATTATGCCTCATATTTAACAAAGCTTTTGGGTGCGGCTTATAGAAGATTGCAGTAACGTTATCATTTCAAAAGAGTACATGTCAAAACTACCTTCTGCTTGAGGGCAGACGGCAGAAGTGAGAAGAACTACAATTCTGCAGCCTGTGGAAGGAAAGCCACATTCACAGAAAGATAAACAAAATAAAAAGGCAGAGGACTTTGTACCAGATGAAGGAACAAGATAAAACCCCAGAAAAACAACTAAATGAAGTGGAGATAGGCAACCTTCCAGAAAAAGAATTCAGAATAGTGATAGTGAAGATGATCTAGGACCTCAGGGAAAAAATGGAGGCAAAGATCAAGAAGATGCAAGAAATATTTAACAAAGACCTAGAAGCATTAAAGAACAAACACCTAGAAGAATTAAAGAACAACAAACAGAGATGAACAATACAATAACTGAAATGAAAAATACACTAGAAGGAATCAGTAGCAGAATAACTGAGGCAGAAGAATGGGTAAGTGACCTGGAAGACAGAATGGTGGAATTCACTGCTGCAGAACAGAATAAAGAAAAAAGAATGAGAAGAAATGAAGGCAGCCTAAGAGACCTCTGAGACAACATTAAACGCAACAACATTCGCATTATAGGGGGTGTCCCAGAAGGAGAAGAGAGAGAGGAAGGACCTGAGAAAATATTTGAAGAGATTAGAGTCGAAAACTTCCCTAATATGGGAAAAGAAAAGTCCAGGAAGCGCAGAGAGCCCCAGGCAGGATAAACCCAAGGAGAAACAAGCCAAGACACATAGTAATCAAACTGACAAAAATTAAAGACAAAGAAAAATTCTTGAACAAGGGAAAAACGACAAATAACATACAAGGGAACTCCCATAAAGTTAACAGCTGATTTCTCAGCAGAAACTCTACAAGCCAGAAGGGAGTGGCATGATACATTTAAACTGATGAAAGGGAAGAACCTACAACCAAGATTACCCGGCAAGGATCTCATTCAGATTCAACGGAGAAATCAAAAGCTTTACAGACAAGCAAAAGCTAAGAGAATTCAGCACCACCAAACCAGCTCTACAGCAAATGCCAAAGGAACTTCTCTAAGTGGGAAACACAAGAGAAGAAAAGGACCTACAAAAACAAACCCATAACAATTAAGAAAATGGTCATAGGACCATCCATATAGATAATTACCTTAAACGTGAATGGATTAAATGCTCCAACTAAAAGACACAGGCTCACTGAATGGTTACAGAAACAATACCCATATATATGCTGTCTACAAGAGACCCACTTCAGACCTAGGGACACATACAGACTGAAAGTGAGGGGATGGAAAAAGATATTCCATGCAAATGGAAATCAAAAGAAAGCTGGAGTAGCAATACTCATCAGATAAAATAGACTTTAAAATAAAGAATGTTACAAGAGACAAGGAAGGACACTACATAATGATCAAGGGATCAATCCAAGAAGAAGTTATAAGAATTATAAATATATATGCACCCAACATAGGAGCACCTCAATACATAAGGCAACTGCTAACAGCTATAAAAGAGGAAATCGACAGTAACACAATAATAGTGGGGGACTTTAACACCTCACTTACACCAATGGACAGATCATCCAAACAGAAAAGTAATAAGGAAACACAAGCTTTAAATGACAAAATAGACCAGATAGATTTAATTGATATTTATAGGACATTCCATCCAAAAACAGCAGATTACACTTTCTTCTCAAGTGCACACGGAACGTTCTCCAGGATAGATCACATCTTGGGTCACAAATCAAGCCTCAGTAAATTTAAGAAAATTGAAATCATATCAAGCATCTTTTCTGACCACAGCGCTATGAGATTAGAAATCAGTTACAGGGATAAAAATGTAAAAAACACAAACACGTTGGAGGCTAAACGATATGTTACTAAATAACCAAGATATCTCTAAAGAAATCAAAGAGGAAATTAAAAAATACCTAGAGACAAATTACAGTGAAAACACAACGATCCCAAGCCTATGGGATTCAGCAAAAGCAGTTCTAAGAGGAAAGTGTATAGCAATACAGGCCTAATTCAAGAAACAAGATAAACCTCAAACAATCTAAACTTACACCTAAAGGAACTAGAGAAAGAAGAACAAACAAAACCCAAAATTAGTAGAAGGAAATAAATCATAGAAGATCAGAGCAGAATAAATGAAATAGAAACAAAACAATAGCAAAGATAAATAAAACAAAGCTGGCTCTTTAAGAAGATAAACAAAATTAATAAACCTTTAGCCAGACTCATCAAGAAAAAGAGGGAGAGGACTCAAATCAGTAAAATTAGAAATGAAAAAGGAGAAGTTACAACAGACACTGCAGAAATACAAAGCATCCTAAGAGACTACTACAAGCAACTCTATGCTAATAAAATGGACAACCTGGAAGAGATGGACAAATTCTTAGAAAGGTATAAACTTCCAAGACTGAACCAGGAAGAAATAGAAAATATGAACAGACCAATCACAAGTAATGAAATTGAAACTGTGATTAAAAATCTTCCATCAACCAAAAGTCCAAGACCAGATGGCTTCACAGGTGAATTCTATCAAACATTTAGAGAAGAGCTAACACCTATCCTTCTCAAACTCTTCCAAAATATAGCAGAGGGAGGAACTCTCCCAAATTCATTCTATGAGGCCACCATCACTCTGATACCAAGACCAGACAAAGTTACCACAAAAAAAGAAAATTACAGACCTGTATCACTGATGAATGTAGATACAGAAGTCCTCAACAAAATACTTGCAAACAGAATCCAATAACACACTAAAAGGATCATACACCATGATCAAGTGGGATTTATCCCAGGGATGCAAGGATTCTTCAGTATACGCAAATCAGTCAGTGTGATACAGCATATTAACAAATTGAAGAATAAAAACCATATGATCATCTCAAAAGATGCAGAAAATCTTTTGACAAAAGTCAACACCCATTTATGATAAAAACTGTCGAGAAAGTGAGCATAGAGGGAACCTACCTCAACATAATAAAGGCCATATACAGCAAACCGACACCAAACATTCTCAATTGTGAAAAACTGGAAGCATTTCCTCTAAGATTAGGAAAAAGACAAGGATGTCCGCTCTCACCACAGTTATTCAACATGGTTTGGGAAGTCCTAGCCACAGCAGTCAGAGAAGAAAAAGAAATAAAAGGAATACAAATTGGAAAAGAAGTAAAACTGTCACTGTTTGCAGATGACATGATACTATACATAGAGAATCCTGAAGATGCCACCAGAAGACTACTAGAGCTAATCAGTGAATTTGGTAAAGTTGTAGGATACAAATTTAATGCACACAAATCTCTTGCATTTCTATACACTAAAAACAAAAGATCAGAGAAATTACGGAAACAATCCCATTCACCATTGCAACAAAAAGAATAAAATACCTAAGAAATAAACCTACCTAAGGAGACAAAAGATCTGTATGCAGAAAAGTATAAGACTCTGATGAAAGAAATTAAAGATGGTCCAAACAGATGGAGAGATATACCATGTTCTTGGATTGGAAGAATCAATATTGTGAAAATGACTATACTCCGCAAAGCAATCTACAGATTCAATGCAATCCCTATCAAATTACCAGTGGCATTTTTTTACAAACCTGGAACAAAAAATCTTAAAATTTGTATGGAGACACAAAAGACCCTGAATAGCCAAAGCAGTCTTGAGGGGGAAAAAAAACAGAGCTGGAGGAAACAGGCTCCCTGACTTCAGACTACTACAAAGCAACAGTAATCAAGACAGTATGGTACTGGCACAAAAACAGAAATATAGATCAATGGAACAGGATAGAAAGCCCAGAGATAATTCCACGCACATATGGTCACCTTTTCTCTGATAAAGGAGGCAAGACTATACAATGGAGAAAAGACAGCCTCTTCGATAAGTGGTGCTGGGCAAACTGGACAACTACATGTAAAAGAATGAAATTAGAACACTCCCTAACACCATACACAAAAATAAACTCAAAATGGATTAAATTTCAGGGCTTCCCTGGTGGCGCAGTGGTTGAGCGTCCGCCTGCTGATGCAGGGGACACGGGTTCGTGCCCCGGTCCGGGAAAATCCCACATGCCGCGGAGCGTCTGGGCCCGTGAGCCATGGCTGCTGAGCCTGCGCGTCCGGAGCCTGTGCTCCGCAACGGGAGAGGCCACAACAGTGAGAGGCCTGCGTACCGAAAGAAAAAAAAAAAAAAGGATTAAATTCCTAAATGTAAGGCCAGACACTATAAAACTCTTAGAGGAAAACATAGGAAGAATACTCTGACATAAATCACAGCAAGATTTTTGACCCACCTCCCAGAGTAATGGAAATAAAAACAAAAATAAACAACCAGGACCTAATGAAACTTAGTTTCTTTTGTTGTGCAAAAGCTTTTATAAACAAGATGAAAAGACAGCCCTCAGAAGGGGAGAAAATATTTGCAATATTGTCCACGAATCAATGGACAATCCAGAATATATAAACAGCTCATGCAGCTCAATATTAAAACAAACAACCCAATCAAAAAATGGGCAGAAGACCTAAATGACATTTCTCCAAAGAAGACATACAGATGGCCAAGAGGCATATGAAAAGCTTCTCAGCATCACTGATTATTAGAGAAATGCAAATCAAAACTACAATGAGATATCACCTCACACCAGTTAGAATGGGCATCATCAGAAAATCTACAAATAACAGATGCTGGAGAGGGTGTGGAGAAAAGAGAACCCTCTTGCACTGTTGGTGGGAATGTAAATTGATACAGCCACTATGGAGAACAGTATGGAGGTTCCTTAAAAAACTAAAAATAGAATTACCGTATGACGCAGCAATCCCACTACTGGGCATATACCCAGAGAAAACCATAATTCAAAAAGGCACATGCACCCCAGTGTTCATTGCAGCACTATTTACAGTAGCCAGATCATGGAAGCAACCTAAATGCCCATAGACAGATGAATGGATAAAGAAGATGTGGTACCTATATGCAATGGAATATTACTTAGCCATAAAAGGGAATGAAATTGGGTCATTTGTAGAGACGTGGATGGATCTAGAGACTGTCATACAGAGTGAAGTAAGTCAAAAAGAGAAAAACAAATATCGTATATTAACTCATACATGTGGAACCTAGAAAAATGGTACAAATGAACCAGTTTGCAGGGCAGAAATAAGAGACACAGATGTAGAGAACAAAGGTATGGACACCAAGGGGTGAAAGTGGCAGGGGTGGTGGTGGTGGTGGGATGAATTGGGAGATTGGGATTGACATGTATACACTAATACGTATAAAATAGATAACTAATAAGAACCTGCGGTATATAAAATTCAAAAAAAATTTATATTGATTACATGTTGAATGACAATATTTTGGGTATAAAAGGTTAAATAAAAAAATACTTTCTGCTTTGGTAATAAGTAACTATCTTAGGTCATCATATTTGTACATGGGTGTGTATATGTGTGTGGATGATTGACCTGTACCTGCTTAGGCTCTGTGCTTTTGCTCAGTTAAGAACAATGAGTTCATAAACTTCAGACAGATACACTGCTTACCCTCTGAAGAATATAAGGATGGCTCATAGCTTATCAGTCTTCACTTTTTTTTTTTGTGGTATGCGGGCTTCTCACTGTTGTGGCCTCTCCCATTGCGGAGCACAGGCTCCGGACGCGCAGGCTCAGCGGCTGTGGCTCACGGGCCCAGCTGCTCTGCGGCATGTGGAATCTTCCCAGACCGGGGCATGAACCCGTGTCCCCTGCATTGGCAGGCGGACTCTCAACCACTGCGCCACCAGGGAAGCCCAATCAGTCTTTACTTTTAAACGAACCCTGGAGGGGGTACAAATGGGAAAATGAAAATAGTCGAAACAGGCAGCAGTCACTTATTCAGAATTGCTGGAATAACTATCCTGACTGCCACTCTGATCCGCCCCAAAAGCGTCTTCTTCTCTTCTACCATGCGTGAGTCAGTCATGTACATGGCTCATAAGCAGTTGGCAAGCACAAGAATGATATTTCTGTATAATACAGAAGTTTTGTAAATGTGCTTTCCCCGTACCACGTTAGTGTTTATAAGTGGTTAGTGGCAGGCCTTCACGATAGAAAGCCTTGGTGATACATGAGGATCTTACGGAAAAACTGGAATCTTGCAGTTAGTGGCTTATCTCAGAATAGCATATGCACAGTCGTCAGTGTAAAGATGGAATCTCGGTCTTGGCCACTGACCTAATGGGGGGTGATTTTGTCCCCCTGGGGACATTTGTCAAGGTCTTCCAACATTTTTTTTTTTATCACAACTGGGAGAGTGCTCCTGGCATCACTCAGTGGGGGTCAGACAGGCCTTCACAACAAAGCATTATCTGGCCAAGTATCGGTGGTGCCAGAGTTGAAAAAGGATGAGTAGGTGGCTGGAGGGTGAGTGTGTGTGATAAGCACAGTGAGAAGGAGAACTAATTGTGCATCTTCCTCATTGAGAAGTCAATAGTGATGCCTAAAACTGGGAGGAAAAATCAGTAAAAGCAATACAAACATGTTATTTTGATATTCGGAAGTGAACACGAAAAGAATCAGCTAAAATTGTTGAAAGTAGTTAACTTCTGGGAAAGGGGGTGTTAATTAGTTTAATTATTTGTTTTAATTAGCCAGGTATCATTAGTTGATGTTCTTTATTAAATGTATATTCAATTTCAAATAAATAAAACCTTTGAAATATGTTAAAGATACTGAATTTCAGAGAAGTGTCTTACTGAAAGTCACATGGCTAGATTTGACCTCACACCTGAAACCTTAATAAACGTGGGGAAGTAAGATCCCGCAAGCCGCGTGGTGTGGCAAAAAAAATGTATGTAGTATATATGCTCTAGTGCATCTGATACCAACATTTAATTATACGAACGCCATGAGTTCCCTGAGGCTAGGATCTACATTGGATTCAATTTAGTGATCTCCAGAATGATGAGTCTTAGATGTGCGGGGAATTATAACAACTTGACTGCCTACTCACTACCGAGAAACTCAGGAAGGGAAGAAATAAGCCCAAGGCTTGGGTTTGGTTATGTTAAAAAAAAAAAAAACAAAACTCTTAACAGTCCTTGGCGTTCTGTTTCTTCTTAAATATGCTATTCTGGTATAGTCTTATCCAATCCCATAGTTTCAGTGAATACATATTTTGGTGACTTCCAGAATATATCTATAGATCGTATTTCTTCAGTTTCACACTAGTACATCCATCTAATTTCCATTTGAATGTTCCACAGGTATCTCAAACTCTGTGTCTAAAACTGAAACTCCAAATCTGCTTTCCTTCTCTGTTTCCCAAATCAGTAAACAGCCCCATCTGGTCAGAAACTTCCCCCATCCGGTCAGAAACTTCCCCCGGTTACGTTTGCTCCTCTGTCTTCGTCCCCAGAGCCGCTCAGTTACCAGCTAACCCAGATTCTACTCCCTACCCTCTCCCGGCACTGTCTGCAGCACCACACCCTCGACGTGCCTGCCCTCCCCTCTTGCCCAAACTGCCCCCCAGCCTCCTGGCCTGTCTGTACCATGGCCTTCCTGAGCACCGGAGACTGCTGTGCCATCAGAGCAGTCTTTCTAGAGCACAAACCTGATCGTGTCACTCCTGCTTCTCTTCGCTCAGCGCTGTGTCTGCGTTCGGGAATGAATCAGAACAATGCTCTTAGTTCCCTGAGCGCCGTTGGATACCGTGGTCCCCGTACTAAAATGTTACAGCTAGCAGGATGTCCTTCACAGTGTATGCACCTGTGTTATTTTGACTCTGTTTTTGCATTTTTATTTTATTGACTCCAGAGAGCTAATGTGTCTTTTTATGGGATGGAGTCATACACTGTGTGGCACCTTGTGACGGACGTTCACATATCATAACTGTTTTCAAGGTGCATCCAAGTCATAGCATATATCTTTACTGCACTTTTATTGCCAAATAATATTCTATTGTATGGATAATACCACATTGTTATTTCTCCTTTTTGGTTACTGTGACTAGTGTTGCTGTGAACACTTTGTGCAAGTCTTTGTGTGGACATATGTCTTCATTTTTGCATTGTTGGTAACTTTGAGGAGTTGCCCTGTGTTCCCAGGCAGCAGCACCATTTTACATGGCCACCAGTGCCCGTGTTTCCACACCTCTGTTAATGCTTGTCATCATCTCTCTTTTCATTATAGCCATCCTAGTGGGTGTGAATGGGTATGTGGTGGTATTGATTTGTATTTCTTTGATGATTAATGATAAGCATCTTTTTCATGTGCTCATTGGGCATTTGTATATACATTAATTTTTTTCAATGTTAATTTAAAATAAAATTGTAATCTATTTTTCTTCAGATGATGGAAACAAACTCAAAAAAAGTGCTAGCATCAGAAAATAGAAAAAGGAATGCTGTTAGAGAAGAAAATGAAAGAGAATTGTATGGGTCATTGAATATACTTCTGGAAAAAATAGAAAGAATACCAGTGAAAAAGGAAAAGACTTCAGAACGACAAGTTTCAGCAGAATGTAGCCAAGATACACCATTGGCCCAACAGGATGTGAATTTACCTCCTTCTGTGTCAACCATAGCTGATAAATTTCAAGAGCAGCTGGAAGAGAAACGATCAGAAGACTCCAATATACCAGCTGCGCTCTCTGCAGATCCAGGTACATGGCCCCGAATTTTGAGTATTAAAGAAAGGGACACTCTAGTTGAAAATGATCCACCTCAAGTGAGAAATTTTAACTTTCCAAAGGACAGTACAGGGAGGAAGTTTTCAGAAACTTACTATACGAGAATTCTTCCAAACGGTGAAAAAACCACTAGATCCTGGTTACTTTATTCAACCTCGAAAGATTCTGTGTTTTGTCTATATTGCAAACTCTTTGGGGAAGGAAAAAATCAACTAAAGAATGAGAATGGGTGCAAAGATTGGCAGCATTTATCACATATTCTTAGCAAACATGAGGAGAGTGAAATGCACATCAACAATAGTGTTAAATATTCAAAATTAAAATCTGATTTGAAGAAAAGTAAAACTGTGGAACACAGATTACAGGAGAACGTGGGAAAGGAGGGCGTGAAGCTGTTGTACACCTTAGACCTGATCTGACATGATGAGGTTGCACACTTTTTCAGACCTGTACCCTGACAGTCGGTGCCTCTGTGCTGAGGCTCCCAGACGGAGTGATTCATCAGCTCATTAGCAATAAGTATCATAGCAAGTAACTAGTAAAGATGGTTTCTGCTCCAAATTCTAAAGCTAATTGGATTTGTAGTGATTAATGCCGATTTCAGTGAAGGCAATTGTTGATCTTTTCAGTTTTTCAATTCACACCTTTTAAAATGGGCACTTCAGGGCTTCCCTGGTGGTGCAGTGGTTGAGAGTCCGCCTGCCGATGTAGGGGACACGGGTTTGTGCTCCGGTCCGGGAGGATCCCACATGCCGCGGAGCGGCTGGGCCCGTGAGCCATGGCCGCTGAGCCTGCGTGTTGGAGCCTGTGCTCCGCAGCGGGAGAGGCCCCAACAGTGCCCGTGTACCACACACACACACACAAATAATAATAATAATAAAATAAAATAAAATGGGCACTTCAGGACTGACATTTGACTGGTGTGGCTAATACTCTGAAAGAGGGAGGGAAAGACTTGAATATCAGTACCGGTTGAACAATGTACTTAGGTGAACAAGCATTGTTATTCAGAAACAGAAAGGGGATCTGAAACTGCAGCTTTTTGCTATTAAACCAAATACTTATGGTTTATTTCATTTGGGCAAAATGTTATTTTATTATTTGAGCAAAGCGGCATCATTTGTCATGTTAAATAGATTAAAGTGGTGAATTTGTGTTTTATTGGTTTGGTTTTGTTTTAACTTAATTTGTAAATGTTTTAGCTTTTATTGTCATGTAAAAACTATAAGCATAAAGAGTGTATACCTATTTTTATGTTGGTACAAATATAAGAAATATTAAAATAAAAATATAGTAAGTTAAGTTAACCTTTTTGTGTTGTGGCATTTTTTTTCTTTTCATCTGAAAGAAAAATACACTTAGGAAAATTAAGGGTGTCAGTTTTTTCAGTTGGTTAATCAGTATTCCCTTCACCATGTATTGACTAATTCTCCCTTTGTTTCTGGTTTCTGACAGCAGTTCTGTTGTGTATCCCATCCTTACATACACTTGTTTCAAGGCTTTTCCTGTGAGCGGTGCCTGAGCAGATCGAGATGCGTCCTTGGTAGGGCCAACACGGGAGCGCTTGCAGACTCCGTAGGGGAGGCCAGCGCAGTAAAGTGTTTGGGGAATAGCCAGGAAGGTCATTCTCATTAGTTTATAACCGTTTTGTTTTCTGACAGTTGGACCATTTCAGTCTTTCGTATTTGGGTCTGAATGGGGCTCTGGGGTATTTCCAAAATCCAGCCTCCTCCAGAGGCCTGTGGGGATACTCTGAGCGTATCCAGTTCTGAAGTCCCTCTGCAAATGGTTCATGTGCCCGTTATTTCATGAACACTTACCTGTTAATCAGATGACAGATTTGTCATGTGATTGTCTTAGATAGACACTTGTGTATCTGAGCAAACTAATGGAATCAACCAGCGGCCACTCTGTCCATTGAGAAGACAAAATTAGATCCTCAACTTTTAACTTCTTTCATTTCTTCGGCATACTGCAGGCACACCTGTGAGGCGCGTGGTAATGAGTTAAATGTGAAAAATTCAGAAGATGTAGGTGCTGGGTCTATCCGTGTTCGCTGTAAATTTCTTTCAACTTTTTGATGTGTATGAAATTTTTCATAATGAGATGTTGAAGAAAAAGTCAACTGTAAATTCAGAAGATGATGAAAGTAAATCTCTCTCGAGCCTGGTGAATCGTTTAGCTTCTTTTTCCTTATCTAGCTCTTTTTTTCACATTGTAAAATTAGTATGGACTCACCTTAAAGAAGGAAGGAAGAAAACAGTAAGTGAAAGTCCTGCTTACCGCGTCCCCCACTCGCCTGCTGCAGGATTTGTCACATCTGATCTGGACATACCCAGGGTCTGTTTCCATCATTTTAATTTCACTGAGAAAAGGCATTAGAAAAAAATTATCTCCTACTACAAATTTAATATCAAAAATTAGGAAGGGCAATTCAGAATAACAGTCCTCAAGAAATGGCAATTTATTGGTTTTGTCATCTCACAGAGCACAACTGAATTTTTTTCATAAACCTCAGATTTTCAAAATTGCTGTCTGGTGGCACAGTGGTTAAGAATCTGCCTGCCAATGCAGGGGACACGGGTTCAACCCCTGGTCCGGAAAGATCCCACATGCTGCGGAGCAACTAAGCCCGTGCGCCACAACTAGTGAGCCTGTGTGCCTATAGCCTGTGCTCCACACCAAGAGAACCACCACTATGAGAAGGCCACACACAGCAACAAAAAGTAGCCCCTGCTCCCCGCAACTAGAGAAACCCGCATGCAGCAATGAAGACCCAACGCAGCCAAAAATAAATTAAATAAATAAATTATTAAAAAATAAAGAATCAAAAAAAAGACTCTTACCTTGAGCTATTTTCTTCCTGTGATCCCCTGTCCCTCCCTTACTCAGTACTGTAGTCAAGTAAGAGTTGCTAATAGCCACTGTGTATGTATAAGTTACAGTTCGCTGTATGGGATGGAGAAGTGAATGAGTAATTGGAGCAAAGAGCTCAGTCAAGTTTGGTGGAGGGAGTGACGCTGTATCATTTTAGGTCGTATCACTTCTGTTTCAAAGCCCTGAAGTTCCCCGTTGCTTTCAGTTTGAAACTCCAGCTCCTTGGCATCAGCGGTAGGCCGTAGGGAAAGCGGGGGTGGATGAAGATCACTTCTGTTTCAAAGCCCTGAAGTTCCCCGTTGCTTTCAGTTTGAAACTCCAGCTCCTTGGCATCAGCGGTAGGCCGTAGGGAAAGAGGTGGTGGATAAAGACAACGTGATGTACAAAATTTGAGAAGTGGAGCATATCTTATAATGTTGAACTATAAAGTGTGACCACGTTAGGATGAAATTAAGAATTTGAGAAGTTAACTAGAGTTGAAAGAATAATGTGAGCCACATACGCAAGTCTTTGTTTTTGAGAAAGTGAGAAGTTAGTTTGGGAAAATAGTTGTGTGATATTCTGGACTAGAGAAGGTTTTCAAAAGCTTATGACTGATTTTTTTTTAAGCAGCTCAGCTGTGGTGGGTTTTTTTTTTCTGGCCATGTCGCACAGCATGCGGGATCTTAGTTCCCCAACCAGGGATCGAACCCATGCTCCCTGCAGTGGAAGCATGGAGTCTTAACCACTGGACCGCCAGGGAAGTCCCAGCAGCTGAGCTTTTAAGCTTGGAGAGTAGATGGTTATGAATCACTGCCCTGGAAGTCATATTTGGAGTGAAGAGCAGTTATTCCAGTTCACGCTTACAGACAGAGCAAGGGAAACCCAAAACCCGGGAAGTGCGAGAAACAGTTCATTCACGCGTGTGTTAAAAAGACTTTCATAAGTCATGTGCTTACAAATTAACAGAACTGTAAACCTCCAGTTTACCAAACCGAACTCGGGCGCCCGCCCAAGGCACAGCAGTCAATCCACTGACCCGGCTTGTGGGGAAGGCAACTAGCGTTTATTTGCAAGGCACCAGCAAGGAGACCTGGCAGCCAACCCTTGAAGGCCCCGAATGACCTGGTGTCTTCAGGGTAAGGGTTTTTAAAGACTAAAATTAGGGTAAGGGTCTTAAGTGTGTGATCAGCTCATGGTTCTTCTGATTGGTTGGGTCTTAACACACAGATTTCTGTCAGTCTGGCTCCAGTTTGCCTGGGTCTCTTAAGCAGTTTGCATGTGGTAGAGCCCTGGTTTCTGTGAAATGACTCAAGGCTCTGCTCAGATTGTTATCTACATCCCTTGAGGAGGAACTAGAGGTCCTGCAACTGATTTATGGTTCAGCTGTTGTTCAAGCTACTATTACTTGTTTCTGCATTTTCTCACTTCTCTAATTATTAGCTGCTTGAGTCTACTCTTTGGAATTCGGGGACGGCCTAGGAGATCAAAGCTTTTCCTACAAACGAAAGGTGGGGAACATGGAGAAGTTTATACCCAGGAAAGCCGCACAGGGTCCTACTCAGTTTCACTATTGAAACTGATCAAGGGAGCAAAAAAGAGAAAAATAACCAATATGAAGCACCACTGGTGATCCTGTGGACACTAAAAACGTAAGAAAGTATATTATGATCAACTTAGGTCAAAGAGTTTGACAGGTTTGATGTGATAGACTGATCACTTGAGAAACAACTTCCCAAATCTGTCCCAAGAAAAAATAGAAAATCTGAATGGCTTGTCTCTGTTTAAGAAATTGACTCTGAAATTACAAGCCTTACCACAAAGAAAACTGCAGGCTCAGATTCCTTCTCTGGTGAAATCTTCCACAGGGAAGAGATAATACCCATCTTGAACATAAACTCCCAGAAAATAGAAAGAAAAGGGCACTTCACAACTTGTTTTACAAGGGCAAAAATATCCTGACAAAGATATTGAACGAATATCAAAGAAATAACAAAACCTGACAATAATACAAGAAAGAAAATTTACAGGCCATCCTCTTTCATCCATTTACTTTTTTTGTGGGGGCGGGGGCGGTGGTGGCATGACACGTGGCTTGCGGAATCTTAGTTCCCCTGCCAGGGATTGAACCCTGGGCCATGGCAGTGAGAGCGCTGAGTCCTAACCACTGGACCACCAGGGAAGTCCCCAAACTCCTGTTTGCGTAAGGATACTAGTCATATCAGGTTGGGGCCTGCCTAATGAAGGCATTTAAACTTAACTACCTGCTTAAAATATCATCTCCAAGTGCAGTTGCATTCTGAGGTCCTTGGGGTCAGGACTCTAACATGCAGGGGGTTTCGAGAGGACACACCAGCTTTTGCCTTGGCACAAGGACACTTACTATTGGGCCCCAGCAGCCTCGACCAGCTCCACCTATAATTCCTTCCTACCCATCCCTCCAGGGACTTGGCTTTCTAAGCTCCCTGTTTCCCCGAGAGGCAGATCCTGTCACAACTCCAGGTTTTGTGTAAGTCGTCTCTCTACCTGGTTTGACCTTCCTCGCCTCCCTTATTTTTGTTTG